GAATGCAAGACAGAGAATGAAGATAACGTATTAAAAAATCATTTGCTACATATCACTGTGACGAAAAGTAATAATCTTTGAACGAAGAAATTAATCTCACTCATCATGGCACAGGACTATAATAACCATGATAATTAATGATATGAATGTCTTCCATCTGAATTCCACTGTCTATCTAGTCCTCTCGACCGTTAAAATCACTCAATAATTTATTGCAGTGAAAAAGCAAGAACAAATTCTTCTATAAATCAACCAATAAAAGCATCGAAGGTAGAAGATCAGCAACCATAATTTAAATTTTATTTCAATCGTATATATCGTTATGTCCTTATGTGTAAAAAAAAAAAAAAAACGGTACATATTTTTTCAAAATTCATTAATACTAAATTAGCAAAAACATGGGGAGCCCCCTATGAGTTGATGTATGATTACGTTATGGTAATATTATATATTATATTTATATATATATTATATATATATATATATATATTATATATCAGTTTACACACACACACACACACACACACACACACAACACACACACACACACACCACACACGCACACCACATACACACACACAACACACAACAACACACACTACACACACATATATATATATAATATATTATATATATAATAGTATATATATATATTATATTATATGTATGTTGTGTGTGTGTTGTGTGGTGTGTGTGTGTGTGGTGTGTGTGGTGTAGTATTTTATGTATGTATGTTTTTTATGTATATATATCTTATATATAGAACGTTTTATGACATTATATATATTATATATAAATTATAAAATAAAATATAATATATATTATACTAATATCTTATATATATATGTGTGTGTGGTGTGTGTGTGTATGTATGTATATGATATATTATATTATATTAGGATATGTATATTCATTTATATATATAATCTACTGCTATTATATAATATATATATTATTCATATAATTATAAATAATATATAAATATATTCATGTGTGTGTGTGTGTATGTATATAAATATATTTATACTATAATATATAATATTATAATACATAATATATATTATTAATATGAATATATTATATTAATATATATATTTAATAATATTTCTACATATTATATTATTTATATATTTGATGTTATCTCAGATTATACTATTATATATATATATAATTTAAAATTTATCATATATATTTATATTATATTTATTATATTTAATTTTAGTATATATATTTATTTAATATTATATTAAGGTTATTTATATATTATATTATATATATTTATATGTATATTAATATATATTTTTAATATATATATTATATATATATATATAATTATCTTTAATTATTAATGTATTAATTTATATATGTATATTATACTATTTAATATATATTATAAATATATTATATATGTATATTTATATTTATATTATATGTTATATAATTTATATTATATATTTATATATATTAATATATATTAGTATGTTATATATTTTATATATATATTCTATATATATTGTATATATATAATATATATAATATTATTTATATTATTATAAATATAGGTAAAATAAAATAAATATTAATTATCTTATATATAAATTATTACATAATTTATATATATTTATTTTATTAATATATTTATGATTATCTTTAATTTAATTTAAACTATATTAAGTGCTATATAGATTATGTATTAATATATTTACATCTATATTTATAATCATTTTATAATCATATATTGATATATATATATTATTAGTATTCATATAAATTATAATTGATTTATATATTTATATATTATTATCTGTTGTGTGTGTGTGTTGTTAGTGTTGTGTGTGTGTGTGTTGTTGTGTGTGTGTTGTGTGTATGTGTGTGTGTGATGTGTGTGTGTGTTGTATACATATGTAAATATGTGTTGTGTATATATATAATTTAATATATTTATAATATATATATATATATATCATAATAATTATATATATATAATATATATATATATATTTATGATTGTATATGTTATTATATTATATATATATAATATATATTATATATTATATATATATATATAAATTAATATAATTATATATCATATGTATATATAAAAAATTTATGTATATATACAATATATAATTAATTTATACATAATATACATATATATATTTCATATATATTATATATTTATCATATATATTTCAATCTATATTTATAATATAGATAATATTAATATATATTTTTATATATTGTATTTATATTATATAAATAATTCATACACACACACCAAACACACACACACACAACACAATACACACACACAACACACACAATATATATATTATTATTATTCTTATTGTAGTCCTATATATTATATATATTTATATTTAATTATATAAAAAATATATATTATATATTTATTATATATATTAGATATAATATGACGGCATATATATAGTTGTATTTATATGCTATTATGTATATATATGCATACAAATTCTATATATAATATTATATTATATATAATTAATAATTCAAACACCACACACACACACACACACACACGACTTCAAACAATCATACACACACATCAACACTACAACACATATATATATATATTATATAATGATTAATAATATCTTATTAATTGATTATATTATATCTAGTATATTATTATATATATCATAATTCTTAGGTATACATACTTATACATTAATATATAATATTATTTATATTTATATATATATATATATTAATTATTTTAATACTCTTACATTATTTATTCTAATTATTATATATCTTGCAACGATAGCACACATCACACACACAACATCAACTATATCATAATACATTTAATATATTTATATATACTCACATCCATTAATATATCCTTAATATTTCCATCACATACATCAAATCACTACGATCGACACACTATTACATATATGGGAACTATCTTATTTTATATAATTAATTATAGTATATTTATTTATTTTATTAATTACTTATATTATTATTACACACAACAAAATATTGGTACAATATATTACACTATGTAACACAATCTAACACAAACTACCAACACAACATCATCACACAGCTAACACTAAATTTACACACTTATATATTATATATACATATATATACACATATGATGGTTCATATATATACTTGTAATTCACATACATAATATGTTTATATATATATATATACATATAACACACGCAAACACACACACACAGACACACAACACACACACATACACACACACACATCACACACATCACAACACAACACACCAATACTATATATTATATTATATATATAATTATATTATCGTATATATATATATATATATATATTATATATATTATATATATATATATATATATATATATAGTGATAATTCCGTAGGTTTGATTTTCCACTCGGAACCGTAGTCCTCAAAACGAAACGGAGAACCAGGGATCGGCGAACATCTTTCTTACGAGCGTTTCGAAGATATCAAATCATCATCATATAAATAATGAAAAACAGTTAGAAAGAAACTAAGTTCATGAAATTGCCATATCTCGGAGATGTAAGTTTCATTATTCGTAAACAATTACGTGAGATATTAATGAATTCGTTCCCACAGATTAATTTCAACATTGTTTATTTTAACCATTACAATATCATCTTTTCTTTAAGAAATGAATGCCACTGCCTTCAGAACTATGTTTCAAATATTGTATATATTATTAATTGCCGTAAGTGTAACGCTAGTTATATTAGATCATCTAGACGATGGTTTAAACATCGTATACTTCAACATAAGGGTAAGTCATAAGAACACCCAAACTGCTTTTCTGAGCAGACCCTCTTTCTCTGTTGTTCGGCAACATTCAGATACAGAAGACTACCCGTTCACTCACAAACACTTCAAAATTATGTCCACTACTTCTAACAGACTCGACAGACTCATCTCGGAAATCCTTTGGCATCCAAAGATGAAACCTAAATTAAACACCAACACAGCCTTTCAACTGTTAACAGTATCCCATCAAGTAACGAGCACTTCACACCTTTTGTTTTATTGGTATATTTTCCACGTTACCATATATATATATATTATATAGTATATATATATATATAACTATATATATATATTATATAGTATATATATGCATAATAATAACTATATGCATCTCTTATATCTCTCTCTCTCTCTCTCTCTCTCTCTTCTCTCTCTCTTCTCTCTATCTATTCCTCTCTCTCTCTCTCTCTCTCCTCCTCTCTCTCTCTCTCTCTCTCTCTCTCGCTCTCTCTCTCTCTCTCTCTCTCTCTCTCCGATATATCCTCTCTATATATATATATAATATATATATACTATAATATTATAATATAATGCATTGTTCTATCTACTATCTATCTATCTATCTCTATCTATTATGTATATATATATATATAATATATAATATATATAATATATTATATATATAAAATATATATATATATATTATATATATTATATATATATATATAAATGCACATGTGTGTGTATGTGTAAATAAATGGTGAGAGATGTCAGCTCTATTTATCTTCCTGATCCTGCGTTGAAACCACGTCTGTTTTCACCAAAGTATGCCTTACCGTACCTGCTGCAGGGCACGCGAAATATATCCCAGTTAAGTTTGTTTGTAGCCTGCTGTCTCGTATTATGCCATGTATCTTTTCACCGGGTATGCTGGTGATTTACTGAAAACTGTGTACAAGGTCTGGTCTCATATGTTTTCCGCCTTTCTGGGGTTAGCAGCGTCTCTGGGATATTTAGGTTTTATGAAATATTTAATTACATAGGCAACCTCAGCCTCACGAAATTCAGGGCTGCGGATCCTCTGAGGAAGAAGGCAATCACAACCCCAAATTTGTCTTATTGTTGTGCGTTGAGTTGTATTGGATATAATAATCTTTATTAGTACACTTTCTGTACGTAGATTAACGTTGGCCGTTGTCACCCCCATGGATCA